AAAACCTCCAAAAACATGGAGGTTAAAGAACACCCTGCTAAAGAACAAATGGGCCAATCAAGCAATTAGAGAAGAAATTTAAAAATATATGGAAACAAATGAAAACGAAAATACAACAATCCAAACTCTATGGGATGCAGCGAAGGCAGTCCTATGAGGAAAGTATATTGTACTCCAGGCCTATTTCAAGTAATTAGAAAAAGTGCAAGTTCAAAATCTAACAGCGCACCTAAAGCAACTAGAGGGAGAGCAACAAGAGCACCCCAAACCCAGTAGAAGAAGAGTAATAAAAAAAAAAAATAAAATAAAGGGTCAGTATCCAAAATAAAATAAAAATAATAAAATTCAGGGCAGAAACATACATAGAAACCAAAGAAACTGTTGAACAGGTCAATGAAACCAATAGTTGGTTCTTTGAAAAAATAAACAAAATTGACAAACCTCTAGCCAAGCGTCTCAAAAAGAAAAGAGAGAGCACTCAAATAGACAAAATCATGAATGAAAATGGACTTATTACAACCAACCCCTTAGAAATACAAGCAATTATGAGGGAATACTAGGAAAAATTATATGCCAATAAATTGGACAACTTAGAAGAAATGGACAAATTCCTAAACACACACCCACTACCAAAATTCACATGAGAAGAGATAGAAAATCTGAACAGACCCATAACTAGTGAAGAAATCGAATCAGTTATCAAAAGTCTCCCAACAAATAAGAGCCCTGGGCCAGATGGCTTCCCTGGGCAATTCTACCAGACATATAATACAGAATTAATACCTATTCTTCTCAAGCTATTCCAAAATATAGAAATCGAAGGAAAACTCCCGGACTCATTTTATGAAGACAACATCACTTTGGTTCCCAAGTCAGACAAAGACCCAGCAAAAAAAAAGAGAACTACAGGCCAATATCCTTGATGAATACAGATGCAGAAATCCTCAACAAGATACTTGCAAATCGAATCCAATGGCACATAAAAAGAATTATCCACCAAGATCAAGGGGGATTCATTCTTGGGTCACAGGGCTGGTCAATATTTGCAACTCAATTAATGTGATACATTACATCAACAAACGAAAAGATAAAAACCATGTGATCCCGTCGATAGATGCAGAAAAAGCATTTGACAAGATACAGCATCCTTTCTTAATAAAAACCCTCAAGAAAGTCGGAATAGAAGGAACTTACTTAAACATAAAAGCCATCTATGAGAAGCCCTTAGCTAACATCATCCTCAATGGGGGAAAACTGAGAGCTTTCCCCCTAAGATCAGGAACACGACAGAGATGTCCACTCTCACCACTGTTGTTTAATGTAGTGCTGGAAGTCCTAGCATCAGTCATTAGACAACAAAAGGAAATAAATGGCATCAGAATTGGTAAAGAAGAAGTCAAACTCTCACTTTTCGCAGACAACATGATACTGTCCATAGAAAACTCCACCAAAAGCCTACTAGAACTGATCCATGAATTCAGCAAAGTTGCAGGATACAAAATCATTGTTCAGAAATCGGTTTCGTTTTTATACACCAACAATGAAGCACCATAAAGAGAAATCAAGAAACTGATCCCATTCACAATTGCAGAAAAAAACATAAAATACTTAGGAATAAACCTAACCAAGGATATGAGAGATCTGTATGATGAAAACTATAGAAAACTTATAAAGGAAATTGAAGAAGACACAAAGAAATGGAAAAACATTCCATGGATCAGAAGAATAAACGTAGTTAAAATGTCATTGCTACCCAAAGCAATCTACACATTCAATGCAATTCCAATCAAAATTGCACCACATACTTCTCAAAACTAGAACAAACTATCCTAAAATTTGTATGGAACCACAAAAGACCCTGAATAACCAAAGTAATATTGAAGAAGAAAACCAAAACGGAGGCATCAGCATCCCAGACTTTAGCCTCTACTACAAAGCTGTTATTATCAAGACAGTATGGTATTGGCACAAAAACAGACACATAGACCAGTGGAATAGAATAGAGAACTCAGATTTGGACCCAAAAGTATACAGCCAACTCATCTTTGACAAAGCAGGAAAGAGTATCCAATGGAAAAAAGACAGCCTCTTTAACAGATGGTGCTGGGAGAACAGGACAGCAACATGCAGAAGAATGAAACTAGATCATTTTCTCACACCATACACCAAAATAAACTCAAAATGGATAAAGGACCTGAACGTGAGACAGGAAACCATCAATACCCAAGAGGAGAAAGCCAGAAGCAACCTCCTTGACCTCAACCGCAGCAATTTCTTACTTGATACATCCCCAAAGGCAAGGGAATCAAGAGCAAAAATGAACAGTTGGGACCTCTTCAAGATTAAAAGCTTCTGCACGGCAAAGGTAACAATCCATAAAACTAATAGACAGTCGACAGAATGGGAAAAGATAGTTGCAAATGACATATCAGATAAAGGGCTCTTATCCAATATCTATAAGGAATTCACCAAACTCCACACCCGAAAAACAGGTAATCCAGTGAAGAAATGGGCAGAAGATATGAAGAGACACTTCTCCAAAGAGGACATCCAGATGGCCAACAGACACATGAAACAATGCTCAGCTTCCCTCCTTCTCAGGGAAATACAAATCAAAACCACACTGATATACCACCTCACGCCAGTCAGAGTGGCTAAAATGAGCAAATCAGAGGACTCTGGATGCTGGCGAGGATGTGGAGAAATGGACATCCTCCTTCACTGTTGATGGGAATGTAAGCTGGTACAGCCCTTCTGGAAAACAGAGTGGAGGTTCCTCAAAAAATTAACAATAGAACTCCCCTATGACCCAGCAATAGCCCTGCTAGGAGTTACCCAAGGGTAACCCCAAGGGGCACATGGACCCCAATGTTCATAGCAGCACTCTCAACAATAGCCAAAACATGGAAAGAGCCTGTGTCCATCAACGGACGAATGGATCAAGAAGATGTGGTTTATCTATATGATGGAATACTACATGGCAATGAGAAACAATGAAATCTGGCCAAATGTAGCAACATGGATGGAACTTGTGGGTGTTATGCTGAGTGAAATAAGTCAGGCAGAAAGGACAGATACCATATGTTTGCACGTATAGGAGGAATAAGAGGAACTTAAAGGAGGACCATGGGTGAGAAGAAAGGGAAAAATAGTGGCGGAGAGGGAGGGAGGCAAACCATGAGAGACTCTTGAATGCCGAGAACAAACTGAGGGCAGATGGCGTAGGGAGGACGGGATGGGGCGTGATGGGCATGGAGGAGGGCACTTGTGGGGATGAGCACTGGGTGTTATATGGAAACCAACTTGACAATAAACTATTAAAAAAAAGATATGGTTTATATATGCAAAGGAATACTACTCAGCAGTGAGAAAGAATGAAACCTTGTCATTTGCAACAATGTGGATGGAATTGGATGGTATTATGCTAAGTGAAATGTCAGTCAGAGAAAGACACATATCATATGTTTTCACTCATATGTGGAATTTGAGAAACTTAACAGAAGACCATGGAGAGCGAAGGGGGAAAAAAACTAGTTTCAAACAGAGAGGGAGGCAAACCATAAGAGAGTCTTAAATACAGAGAAAAACTGAGGGTTGATGGTGGGGTTGGGGGAGAGGGGAAAATGTGATGGGAGTTGAGGAGGACACTTGGGATGAGCACTGGGTGTTGTATGTAAGCAGTGGATCATGGGAATCTACTCCCGAAGCAAAGAGCACCCTGTATACACTGTATGTTAGCTAACTTAACAATAAGTTATATTTCAATAAATAAATAACAAAATTTAACTTAAACAAAAAAAGAATTGGTGGAAGAAGCATTCTGGCGTATTCGTCCATAAGACTTAGAATCACCTCAGTCACTTATTAAAATCAGAGATGCCTATGGCCCACCCCAGATCTAATATGATAGTAGATTTTATATATTTAATAGATTTTATATATTTAATAGCTCTATATTTTTAGTAAACTCCTTGTGATTGTGATATGTAATCAACCAAGGTTGGAAGGAGCATCAGCATAAGCTCAACTCTGTGTAGTCTGATCAGTGATGTGCTACTGTAAGATTAAGCCAGGAGCAGAAAAGGGAATGGTATACACACGGAGAACAGAATTAAGAAGAACAGTTAGGCATACATGCAGATGTGCAGTGGAGCCTTAAATACATTTACAACAATTGGAATAGAAAGATCAAGAGGTATTGAATCATGATGATGCAGATATGTATAGAATAGAGCAATATGGGGCACCTGGGTGGCTCAGTCGGTTAAGCATCTGACTTGGGTTCAGGTCAAGATTTCGCGGTTCCTGAGTTTGAGCTCTCGTCGGGCTCTGTGCTGACAGCTCAGCCTAGACCCTGCTTCAGATTCTATGTCTCTCCCTCTGCTCCTCCTCTGCTTGCACTCTGTCTCTCTGTCTCTCCCAAAAATAAATAAACATAAAAAAAAGAATAGAGAAATTTAAAGAAGTCAGGCAAACTATCCCTGATTTAAATAGTTCGGTTTTTATATTCTAGTTTGACTAAATATATCAAAATTTTAACTCTCTAAAAAAATCAAATAAAATTTCAGTGGTATTTCTAGTTGAATACTATCTCCCAAAATCGCAATCATATACTTAATGTTTCAATAATAATGAACATTTAGAAAATAAATGGCAGTGTTCGGTAGCTATTGTACTTAATGGTGATGTTACTATCACTGGGCTTTATTGTTATAATAATGACTACATTAATATTTTAAAACCGAGGAATATGGTAATGCATATTGGTTAAATAAGCTTTTTATATCCGAAAAAATAGAAATAACTGACCTAAGGCATATGTTATTTATTTAAAAATAAGTCTAGCTGTATTTCCCCTCCTATAGATTTAGACTAATAGTTTTTAATTCATTACTAATTCTTTCAAAAACAAAAGTTAAATATAGTAAAAGATTGGAGTTTTTCCCTTTGATTTTTGTTTTTTTGAATTTCTGAAATGAGTGTATTCTTTTCCTTTACAGGAGACTGTTTCTTCATCCCAAACTTCAAGAACTTTACGTCTGTTTTCATGATTCAGTCACAGAAATTGCCATAGAAATGGCTTTTAAATTATTCTTTGGATTAACCTTGTAGCTGTGTTTTCTTGATGCATAGCAACTATGCATGGAACATTGAACAGTGTTAAAATTGCTGAAATCATACACAAGAAGATAAGATTTAACTTCTCTCAACTGTTCAATTTTGAACATAATAATGTTAAATATTGAGATGATATGCTCTTGGATTTGATGCACTAAATCTTATGTAGTATTGTGAGACTTTTGAAAAGATACTTGATCAAAATAAGAAGGGATTTTTAACTTATTTCCATTTTGGTATGTAATGTTAATTTATTGACCAGTATGAAATAATGTGAAGTTGTTTTAGATAAAATTAATAGAGTAAATATTTATCTTTAAAAAATACACAATTCATAAGTGAATTCACTTGTGTATTTTTCTCAAATAATATCTGGTGAAAGAATCACAAAACTGGAAGATGTGACCAGATCCTGTAACTAATAAGTGCTGTGACCATGAACAAGTTTTTGTACCTCTCTGAGTCTAGAATCTTCATGTATAAATGAGATGACTGCATTGAAACTTCTAAAGTCCCTCCTAAGTAACATGTGCAGTTTGTTTCTACTTGCCTTCTTGTCAGTATCTAAATTTATAATGTCCAAGTACTAATTTCTTATTAGATCAAATACTTCTTTTTACTTTAAGTGCTTTAATAGATAACTCACTGTGCAGGAAAAACTAAGGAATGAAAATTAAACTTCTTTCTCTATTTATTTGATTTTCTTTACTCTTTCAGATCAGCTCTGTTTTGTCCAGGATGTACTTTTTAAACTATTTGTCCATTAACTTTTATTATTTTTCTTTTCATTGAAATATATTCAGGTATGCACACACATTTTATATAGTTCATGAATTTCAAGACAGCTACATGTAAATCTTTTAATGATGTTAAAAAAAACACTGAACAAGTTGGGTTAAAGTAATCCTATGGCGACTTCTTCTGTTAAATACAAATTTTTGCCTTACAAATATGGCTCATTGTGTGTTGGGTTTTCCCAGAAGGAGGTACCTTAATGAGCAATAGTTTACTTGACCTTTAGTAGAGAAAGAAAACTAATGAGATTAGAATTTTCTTTGGCTGTGACAATTTGGTAGATTAAGAAAGAAGGAAAAACATAATACTGCATTTTTTATTACCACTTACCTAATGGATCCTCCTGAAGTCTCAGATGCCCCTAAGACTACAATACTGGGTTTTTTTTCTTCTTTAGGACTTAAGCTTTGGAAGGGAAATTATGCCAACACATCTAAAGTCAGTTTCTATTTCCTCCCCCTCAGACGCCTGGAACATGAGCCCTCCAGGTTAGAATTAACTGGAACATGAGCCCTCCAGGTTAGAATTAACTGTAAAACATAGTGGGTGTACCATTTGAAATATTTGGTCTTAAAAGAAACAGTTACCTCTCTGTAATCAGTTTAAGAGATTTTCACCCAGGTATTTAAAATGCAAACGACTGTATTTGTCCTGTTAGTGACTTGTGAGCCTTAAATTTAGCATTGAAATCAAGGCAAGAAATTTTGGTTCTTGAAATGTACAAAATGGCTTGAAATATCTTCCCCTTAAAATCACAAATATTGGTCAGAATGGTAGATAGACTCTTAACCACTGCATTAGTTTAAGGCACTGTGTTTTTAAATATTTATTAAATGTCTTAAATTTCTTAATATGTCCCCCAGACACCATGAGCTATTTTAAATACTGAAATTTATTAATAAATGCAGCTATTAATCACCTCAGCTTTTAAACAGACTGAACTAAAATTTTAGATTTTATCAGAAAGGACTTTTTTAAAATTTCATTTAATGATATTTTGGTCTTTTGAACTGCTTTCGTGTTGTCAAAGAATCTTGAGAGCACTACTCAATAACGAAAATAAAAGGACTATTTACCTTAATAAGAGGAAAATCCTTTGTTACATTGTAGATGTATAGTATAGTGTAATGTCCATGTTGCAGAGACATTGCATTTTTAAGAAATAAAAGCAAACATCGTGGTTGTCATCTCTAAATGGATATTGAAGTAAGCATTGCAACTAAATCTAGCTGCCCATTTTCCAAAAATGTTGAGATTCACATCTGAAAGATCAATCTATTGGCCAATGATGGCCTATCTGCCATTTTATTGAAAAAAGAGGACAAAGTAAAAGTGTAGATACCCTAGAGGTATGCTTTAGCAGATACAGAAACATTCTTAAGTTGGATTTTATTATTAGCATCCTGCAAATGTTCCCTTTTACGAGACTATGAATGCAAATGATTATAGAACTATCAATTTTGGGAAATATCAAGTACTATTTTATCAACACCCATATCTTTTAGCCCCCCAAAATTATGTTTTAGATTCAACACCTTCCTCCTTTCTCCCTCCTCCCCTTTCTTCTTTTGTTTCTTTTTGTCAGGTTAGGGTACTGTACTTAGCAATGGAGAGTTTCTTAGTTGTGCCAAGGAACTGTTGATGATATGTGTACTGGCAAGATAGTAAATTTGCAGTGCCTGCTTTTTTATATTTCTGACACAAATGGGGAAAATTATGAAACCAGTTCAGTAGGTTTGTCTGCTTTGAGCATTCTTGGAAATAATATTGTGAATAATTATTTGCTATCTGTGTAAGTTCCCCCAAATAGTGCCTGGCACCGTGCACATGCTATAAAAATGTTAGCTACTACTACTACCACCACCATTTATTATTACTAAATATCCATTGGTTGAAAATCTCGGAGTCAGCTAAATCATACCTGCTACTGTACAAAAAGTTGGGAAAAAAGCTGAGAAAAAAATATTCAGCACTGAACACTTTTGACAACAAGGATGTATACTTTGGATATTTTAGAATACATTATTAAATGTTACTGAAACTTTATATACTAAACTGTGTGAAAATGATTTAATTTTCTAGAGGTGTATTTCTATATTCTAAAAAATTGAAGCTATTTTTGTATTGATAGTCTTTAATAAAGATGGTTTGGAGGGGTTTTTTTTTTTGTTTTTTTTTTTTTTTTTTTTTTGTAGTTGTGTTGTCTTTTCATGCATTCAGCCAGCAAATATTTATTGACTTTCTACTCTGTGCCAAGCACTGTTCTGAATGCCGGGGATAAAGCAATGAACAGCTAAAAATGGACCTTCACAGACTTGATATTCCAGTGGGACAGGAAGGCCAAAATAAGACAAATAAGTAAAATATGTTGATAAAAAGCTAAGAGGAGAAAAGAAGTGAAGGAAGGAAGAAATGGGATAGAAAGTGTGAGAAATAGGGTGGCCAGAGAAAGAGTTGCTGAGGTGACCCAAGAACTAATCTAAGAGTGGAAACTAACCATGCTGATTTCTAAGGAAAGCAGAGTGAACAACCCAAAGGCCCTGAGATGCTATACTTTTATATCAACATATAAATCACCAGAACTTTTTTTGTTCCCAAAATCAGTAAATAAAATGCAATGCAGCTGGTGAAACATTTTCAGCTCAGACTTTTGAAAAGAGCTGGTCCACAGCTCTTAAAGTAAAAAGCTACATTTCTAAGTACTGTCACGTTTGCTATCTTCTATCAATGAATATATGTCAGAAATAAGCTTGAGGATATGATAAATCAGTGTGCTATAAACACTGTCAACCACAGAGTCAAAAGTGGGGTTGGGGAGAAAAGGGGTCAAGAAAGGAAGGAAGAGAAATTTTCCCTGGGGAGCCACAAAACACTTGCTTTTCTGTCTGAGATACATATGTTCCTTGTGACCAGAGATATTCCTTTGACCTCTCTTGGCACCTTAAAAACAATCTTGCATGGAATGTGATTCAAGTATTCCCCCTGCCCCCTTAAATTTCTCCCTGTATGCTTGTTAATACTTTAATATACCATAAAGGAGACCAAGAACTCTTTCATTATTCATACTTTTGCAGATAAAACATCAATCATGTCTTGAACTTCAGTGGATTTCACAAAAGGTTTTGAAATCTGTGCAATGAGAAGACTTTAAATCTTTTAAGCCTAGAAATAATGCTTAATGCAATTGCTTCAGAAAGATTAATCTGGCAGCAGCATGTAAAATGGAGAGATTTGGCCACAACATCAGTTGAGTCGAATAAGCTGCCATGGAAAAGAAGGTAACACCAAAATGGTATCAGCAGGACTTGCAAACCGGTTTTATATGGATAATCAAAATATAAACAAAATTCCTGCTCTGGGATCCTGGCCTAAATATGGTTTTGTACTAGTGACAAGTAGTATTAAAAGTGTTACAACACACTTAAGATAATAAAAACAAGTTGAAAAAAACTAACTCCTCTTCTGTAGATGTGTTTCAAGACTGCAGGCCTACAGAGTAAGAGATGATAAAATAGGATTTCTTTATTAGAAGCCATCAAACAAGCTATAAAAAAATCAGGAGTATATTAGATCTACTACAGAAGGATCTCCAGGATATACAAAATGAAGAAAAAAAAAAAAAGCAAGGTGAAAGAAAATAGACCAAGACCTCATGTGCAGGATAGATGTATATCTACTGCATATTCTTGCCCAGAGTCAGACCTGAACCTGGTTAAGACTCCAGATGAATTCTAGAACGGTGGTATGGATACAGATGTCACCGAGACCTCCTCTGAAATACCATGAGATAAAAACTTCTCTAAAATACTAAGACATTACTTGTCTGTTTCCCTGTCATTCTCTCAGTGCATAGTGGAGTTTTCCAGCAGCTGCAAGATGTGTGGTATTGCAGTAGACTGCATACAAAAGCAGTCATGTAAATCCAGCTGTTTTTTATTAGGCCAGGCATTTTTAAAGAGATTTTCAAAAATATAAAACAAAGTTATTCTCATTTGTACTGAAAAATACTTTTTATTTAAAAATGTCATTTTTTATATGGGCTATTTTAAGTGAATTAATATTTTTAAATTTTCAGTTTGTTTCTGAAACAGTATCCACATATA